TTCTGCCGATCTCTCCACTTTCTCCCCTTTGTACAAACCTGAGCACACTGCCTAAACGGGTACACACGCCCACTGGGTAGAGCGGCCCCTGGTTCTCAGTTCTGGAGACTTGGCTGGACTTGGCCATTTGAGCCTCCGTTACATGGATGAACACCACAGGGGAAGCGACTAAGACTTCTGTCCTTTGGAAAAAATCAAACTCAACACATCCTGGGTACTTGGCCTCAATCCAAAGGGTTCCCTGGAAATACCTTTATGAACTCGCCGCAGGGTTTGGAAGCATGCGAACCTCGTGTTTTAGAGCTGGAATGGTCCAGGGCAGATGGAGTGGAGGTGACCCTAGTGAGGAATCACCTGAAATAAACCTTATGCTGTTTGGAGACCAAACCCTGCAGCTGAGCAAACAGGGCGAGGGCTGGCCTACTCCTCAGAGCCCGCCCCTACCACGTTCACTGGACGGGACGGAAGACAAAGTCCTTGAAATAAAGGCTGGGCCGGCAAGAGCGAGTATGAAGATGCGCCTCAGCTCTCTGGGAGTAACACACTTGGGTAGGCCCTAGACTTGCTTTACTCTTATAACAGCTCCCAACACCCTCCAATGCTCTGAACGTCCTCACACACGGGGCACACTGGTAGCTACCTTTCTTTACTTGGATGTACTGACATTTTACTTATTTTAACCACCAACCTTTTGATCATAAACCAGTTTGAAAGTTTTCAGACCACAAAACAATAAATACAGACCTGACATTTACAACACTGCACCACATACTGTATTTCTTTTACAAGAGAGTTAACTACTCTAATTGGCTAACTGCTAAACTCAACACTAGGCCCGGGCCCTCGCCTCACTTATGCAGCTGTGCCCTGAGCAGCGTCCACACATGTCCACCCACGGGCGGGAGCGAAAGGGTGACATTCTCAGGCTAAACAAGACACCGAAGCAAATTTGAATTTGGAGGGAGCCCCTCGGGTTCTGAGCGTGGGAAGGTGACGGGCAGGTTGCGCTGTGGCCTAGCCCCTGCCATGTCCTTGGGGATGCTTCCCGCTCTCCCGAGGAGCAGGGCTGCCTGCTTGCTGAGCAGAAGCCCTCGGAGTCCTCCTCTCATCCCAGGGCTGGAAGCCGCCACGGTCTCACTTCCCCTCTGCCCGGGAGGCTCTCTGTAGAGCAGACCCTTCCTGGCTCCCAGTGTCTCTACAATGAGCCTCGACCTTCCCCAGCGTAAGTCACGTCTGTTATGCTGCTGGAATCAAGTACCCAGAACTAGATGTCTTCTCGGGTCATGTGCTAGTGAGCCTGAAAGGCCTTTTTCAACAGGACACAAAAGAGGCTGCCTGGGCCTGCAGCCGCATCAGGGAACGTTTCAGTTCAGCACAAAGTGCTCAGCAGGCGGGCTCGCATCAGCCTTAGTTAAGTGGGGTTTCCAGGAAAGCATGGGACACCGCTTCCTGCAGGTGAGTTGCTGCGCCCACCTGCCGGACAGTGGAGGGGAGGCGGCCTCAGGTCGGCGTCGGGATCACATCAAAGCATCTTGAGTTTTCCTAAGGAATTACAAAGACTTAAGATTCTGATCTAAATGGGACCTCAAGCCCAGAGGAGTGGTTTTACTGGACTGTGAAGATGTTCGCTCACAGGTACACCCACAGATAATGACCACAGATGGCAAGCAATTTAGTATGTAATTGTTCCAGAACCAGTATTAAAGCTCTTCAACTCAATGATTAACAAAACCTTCCCTCTGGACTGGCTGCCGCGAGGCTGGTGAACCCGGGGCGCGACAACACTGCTTTCCTGTATCTTTTAAAGGCCACCTCCAGGGTTTTAAATGCCTCCTTTGGTGTTCTGATGGCCCCTTTGGGGTTAAGAATGGAATGTAAACCGAAGGAAACCTAGAGCAATCAAATAAACAGCTGACTGCTGGAGGAACAGACGGCCATCTCATTTCCTCTCCAGCACAGCCTCCTGGCACGCTGGGTTCTGAGCGTACCGCGAGCTCCCTGCCCAGCAGTCTCACTCTGAGACAAGCTCAAGCTCGCTGGTCGACAATGTGAATGATCGATCGCGAAGCCTCAGAGAGGCAGACATGCCTTTTTACTTAGAAAACCTCACACTGCAGATGCACCACACCGGTGACCACTCGCCTCAGCGCAAGGAGCCCGTCCGAACCAACCCCAATGGGATTTTTGCTTCTCTCTTTATTAATTTTTAAGGGGACTTGGAGGACAGATTATGTGATTAATCTGAAGGTGAGAGGTGTCATTTTCTCAGGTGTCCTGCTTAGTTAGGCCCCTCCCATCCTTGAAAGGGCATCAGCTCAGGCGAGAACGTGGTGGGAAAGCACCGCTGCCGCGGGGCAGGAGTGAAGGAGTCTGCCCAGTCCCCGGGTCCCAAGGCTCAGTGCCCGCAGCCGACCCAACGCGGACAGCGGCCTCTTCACAGGCTGCAGTCAGTGCTTCCGTTTACAATCTACCTGACAATCTCCATGTCCCATTGTTTCAGTGACATCTCAAGTGCCACTGAGCACAGCTCTCTGACCGTGAGAGGCTGGCTCTGGGCCGCTGTCCCCTCTGCTCCGAGCGAGGCGGTGCCCGATGGAGCGGCCTCAGCCGCCAACACGGAGCGGCACAGCCCGAAGCCTCTGCAGCCGGGAAGGAGGTGCCACCCAGCAGGACGCACAGGAAGTGGCGCACAGGAAGTGGCCAGGCAGTGTGAACTCACCGCCTCAGTTCCGGCCTCCTCAGCTTCAAGAGTAAGAACTAGAGAAGTGTTTGCACGGCTCACTGCTATTACAGGGTGCCCTCGCTCTGGAGCTGCCGACTTAACTGCCCTGATGTCTCCACTGCTTCTGGTCAATGTGGGTTATTTTCTGCAACGCAGTCGGGGCCAGGCTGAGGCTATCTCGCCAATGGTCACTAACCCTCATTTCTCTTAAGGCAGAACTGCATCCCACTGGAGGTTCTGCAGGCATCTCTTCTAATTCTAAACCTACTCTCAATGCGACAGGCTTACAGAGCACTTCAGGACATTACAAATCACAGTTGTGGCAAAATCACATTGTTATGAAATCCTTCCTGTAAACTAAAAAAATGTGGCTCAGGCTAAGCTGTTTAAAAACAGAGATCAGGTGGGGAGGCCGACCGCGGTGCTAGTGACTCTAGACCAGATGGAAACGGGAGCGAGGCCAGCACGGCCCGTGCCACGCACACAAGCCCCACAGGAGACGGCCAGTCCTCCGGCAGGCCAGGCCTCCACGACCACTGTCCGTGGAGAAGAGAGAGGGGAGGAGAGGGAGGAGGACGGTCCTTCCTGGAGCCTTTCTTCTAAACAAGTCTGAGAACGCACGGGGCTGACTCCAACAGCAAAACAGAAAGTATTTTTTTTGCCATGAAGGAACTTGACTCTGTAGCAACATGTTTACAAAACCGCTGCAAACACTCTTAGAGGGCAGTGACCCCGCTCCCCAGAGGCTGGGGAGTCAGGCCCAGTGCCCTACGCCCACAACACACCCCACGGCCGGAGCCGCGGCCCAGGCACTGCACGCCATGCGAGGGGGCAGCAACCCACCGCTTTGATCCCTCCCCAGGGCTCAGCTCAGACTCTGTGACGGAGCCCTCTCTATGCAGGGCACCGGGCAGCAGACACTTGTAAAAACAAGTCAATTCATTAATGTGTCCGTCCTGTGCGTTTGCTTGAGAAAGCTTGACTCCTGTCTCATTTGCTGCCCTGCTCGGGAAGGCCACCAACAATCCAACACATGCTTCTCACACCCAGGCTTCTCTCTCTCTCTAAAAAATGAACAAAAACATTAAAAAAAATCTCAACACATCTGACTCCTGAGAGTAGTGCGCTCTCTCTCTCTCTCTCTCTCTCTCTCTCTCACACACACACACACACACACACACGTCCTGGTCCATGAGGATGGCATGACCTCACTTGTGTCTCCCCAATGGCTGCAATCTACAAACTAAACACAAATGTGAATTTAAAGACCCACTACTGCCCTTCTCCATCCTGAGGGTGTGGCCTCGGTTGGACGCTCAGGTGATGCCAGAATCCGGAACATGCAGACTCCCTGTGAGAGAGGTGGTCTCTGCCCTGGACACACACACCTGTTTCTATCGGCAGAACTAATGGCAAACTGGTGTCCATAAAGAATTTTGCAAGTAGGGCACTTTCTGTGGTTTCTTGTTTCTCCCTTACTTTCTCTGGGGAGATAACACAAAAGGACTGTGAGTGCAGTCACGGCAGCCACAGTGTTCGCAGTGTCGGGGGACACGCTAGTCCCTACTCATCAGAACCCCGGTGCCACACGGACAACACCGCTGGACAAAGCCTCCTGCTGTCAGTCATGCAAACAGCGCACGCTCTCTCGTTGACTGAGTTCACAGCACCCACTCATGTCGCTGAACAATATTCCTTGGCACAGCCCACCTTCCTGACCCGAAGACACCGCCACCAATCCGAGCTGGGCTTCGCAGGGCAGTGCTGTTCTCGCCCAGAAGACTCCTCAGACCACGGACCCCAGCTACTATATGCTGCGGTTCCCTTCCCAGGCACCGACTGCTCTGGAAAAGCACCTCCATCCACCTCCCAAAGGAAGGAGCATTTGGAGAAGGTGCTTCTGGGATTCCACGCAGTGCTTGGCTGAACTTATTTCCTGTCCCCGCAGGTACCTCAACAGAACCTCCAATGCCCTAAGTCAGGCCGTGAGCAGCAGTGCCTGTGTCTGTCTCCGAGGAGGACGTGAACCGTGAGCGGCGTCAGACAAGCCACCTGCTGTCCCTATCGGCTGGACCCTTCCTTGGGGATAGAGCTCCTTTCCCAGAGGGGACGGTACGAAGGGCACTGCCGGCGGTTCTGTGTTTAAGACTCGGAGAGAAGATGCGAACGGAGGGGAAAACAAAATTTAAATTCACCGACACCCCCAAATGCTGAAAACTACACGACACAGGCCAAACAGATACATTAGATTCTTCTAGTGGGCAGGAAGAGCAAAAGCTTTTCAAAGTTTGAGTATTTATTAGAATTTTTAAATAAAGAGAACTACGATTCTAATTTCACATCTTGGCTGTGTTTTGACAAAGGAGATGCCACTGAGGGTATAGCAACAAGCTCCTTTCCCAAGCCAGGGGCTGAGCAGTGCCTCCCCACCCGACTCCAGATTTCAGACCCTGACTTCCCAACTAGACAACACAACTGCAAATGAACAGCAGGAGACCTGTATCAAACCCAACAGGACAGTTTGCAGGGAGCCAACGCACTGTGTACCTGTCCTAGCAAGCGTTACGCACTCCGCCACATCGCGGCTCTTACACCGCAGGGGAGACACATGCAGTGTCTGAGCATGCTCATGGTGCACTCGCAAGTGCTATGACCTTACAAAGACAAGCAAAACCGGGATTGCCTTCCTGCGTACGTTTCGGGACTTAGCATGGTTACCTGGGCGGGGGAGGGCTGCACAGCTGCACTTACTGAGGATGGCTGGCTGCTCAGCACATAGGCCAGACCCAGCCGCATGCTATGGCATGGACGCACAGGAGAGGCTGTGTCGGTGAGCAGCAGCATTATGGAAAAAACTCCAAACCAGCAGGACAGGAACAGGGCCCGACGCTCCAGTTTTGGGAAAGTAATCCCAAGAACCCAGTTCAAACCCCTATTGTCAACACGCAGGGAGGAATTCCATTTCTATCACTGCTTCCTGGATCTGAGCGGAGGCCATTTGCTCCTGGCTTGGTACTAAAAAGGAACGAGGTTTCTTCCCGGTTCCTCCTGGGCCCGGAACAGCTTCGAGGAGAAAGGCCATGCATCCGGGCGCTGTGACGTGGCTGTGCTCCCCCGGCCCCGCTCACTGCAGTTGTGACTGGGGAAGAGGAGGGGAAGGGAACTGGTCTAGTCACTAACATTAAAAGAAAACATAAATTGCGAGGCTCTGTTTCAGAACGCCCCAGATTAAAAAACAAAACAAAACCTTGAAACATTTAAACAGTTAAATTCCTCTTCTAAAAGTCACTTATTTACATATTATATGCCCAGTATATAATGTGTAGATAAATGTACCCTGTAGTGAAAGGGACCAACCACTGGGCAGAAGAGCACATTACGAGCACATTCTTGAAAAATTTCATCTCGTATTGGTATCTTTTAATTTAAAAAAATTTAAAAATCGAAGAAGAGAGCCTGGTCAGGGCCAGGAAGCGACAGACGGAACCCTTCAGAAGCCGAGGCAGAGGACGGCCGTTTGCCTCTGAGAGTGTAGGATGTGAACAGGGAGGGCAGCTCATGCACGAAAGGACTTACAAATTACACCCCCCCAATGAGAAGAAAAGCCCATGACATAACACCAAACAGCAACATTATCACTGAGCCCTTTCTCTGCTGCCATGCCTTATGTGAGAGAGGAGGCCTGTGAGGAGAGGGAGGAGAGCAAGGGTGAGAGGGAAGGTCTGCACTCAGTCTGGTTTCCAATTCCACCCTCTTCCAGGTCTTCAGTCATCTGATGGCCATGACCGGGGTGCCGTTGTTGGCGGAGTAGCCTTGCCTCAACGCCTCAAAATATGACGCCTGCACAGGCTTGTGGTACTGCAGCACTTTGATGGCCTCTTCTACCTTAAACCACTCTCGCTTCCTTCCTGCGGAGGCACACAGAAAAAGATCAGGACACCAGGGAAGCAACAAAAGGTTTCTAATCTTCTAACTTTTGAGAAAATGCAGAAGGAAACAAAAGTAATGTTTGTCAACATTTTCAAAACATGTATTATAAATACATTTTCTTATAAGAGTAATGCAAACACACTTTATATGCTTAAAATACTGTACAGCCATAGCTGGTTTGGCTCAGTGAATAGAGCCTCAGCCTGTGGACTGACGGGTTCCAGGTTCGATTCCAGGCTTGGCACATACCTCGGTTGCAGGCTAGATCCCTGGCTCTAGTCGGGGCACATGCGGAAGGCAACCGGTCAGTGTGTCTTTCTCACACATGTTTTTCTCTGTCTCTCCCCGTCCCTTCCACTCTCTCTAAAAATATCAATGGAAAAATATCCTCGGCTGAGGATTAGCAACAAAAGAACAAAAAGAAGATACTGTACAAATGCTCATGCAGAAGATAGGGAAGAAATCTGAAAACTGAGGAGCTGACAGTAACCATAGGCTCTGCCCTCCAGAGAACCAAGGCCAGTGGTTTCCCCCTGTGCTCCTGGGCCATGGGGCCTCCTCGGCTTGCTGGTAAGAGCCTGAAGCCCAGCCAGCATCCTCCTCTCCTGCAAAAATCAACCTGAGCATCAAGCTTCCAGAATTACCAGGATGGCTAGCTTGAAATCAGGCATTTATTTTTAAAAATTTATATGAGTAACATCTATATATATATATGAGCCTAAGCGACCGAATGACAGATCAACCAGTTGCTATGACATGCACTGACCACCAGAGGGCAGATGCTCAATGCAGGAGCTGCCCCCTGGCGGTCAATGTACTCCCACAGCCAACCTCCTGGGGCTGGCCAACCTCCTGTGGTCCCTGCCCCTGGCTGACCGGTCCCAATCACCCTGATTGGGACTGGGTGAGACAGCCCTGATCACCAGCCAGGCCGAGGGACCCCACCATGCACGAATTTGTGCACTGGGCCTCTTGTATCTATTTAATAGAAAATACCACTTTTACAAAAAGAAAAAATTATCTTATCACAATCACTATGAACTTTTCAGTCTATTTTCTTTTTTTATTATTATTCTTTTGTTAATCCTCTCTGGAGGATATTTTTTCCATTGATTTCTTTTGAGAGAGAGAGAGGGAGGGAGGGGGAAGAGAGAGAGAGAGACATCAATGTGAGAAACATTGACTGTTTTCACTGATGCTCTAACCACTGAAAACACTGGCCAGGGCTATTTTCTTTTTTAAAATATGTGTTACATGCCATTGACTTGGCTCTGTCCATCCATACTGTCCTGTCTAGGCACACTCAGGCCTATGGCTTCTTTCATGGAGTCAATCGATCTCCTATTTGTTCTTCCTCTTAACACATGTTTTAAAATCCTTTATTATTTTTTTTCTCTATTAAAAGATTATTGCTTATAATCGGGAAAATGGATAAAAATATAATATAATTTCCCATAATCTTCTAAACCAGAAATGACCCTTCTCAATACCTTAATGTATTTTCTCTTCCTTTCCTCCTATTTAAAAAAGATACTGTATACGAACAACTGTAACTGGATCATGTGTTAAGGTGCTCTAAATCTTGAAACTGATAGAATCAATGTTGGCATTGGGAACATGGATGCTGCCACTAATATGGCTGGACTTCAATCACATCACTGCCCTCTAATGAGCTGTGAGGCTTTGGGCAAGTTACTGAACCTCTCTGTGCCCCACTCTCCTCATCTGCAACACAGAGATAATAAATAGTTCCTATCTCATAAGTCTGTTGTGAGGATTAATATGTAAAGTATTTGAATAATACCTGGCACATAATACATGCTATTAAGAGTTCCTTTTTATTATTACTATCACTGTTATAGTTTTTGTTTTGTTTTTTACTTTATACTGCCTCTTAAGCATTTTTCCACATTATAAAAAAAAAGACGGGGAGAAACAAAGATGGCGGCATAGGTAAACACCGGGAAATTGCTGCTTCCCACAACAACTTCAAAAATACAACAAAAAGACAAAACGGACATCATCCAGAACTACAGGAAGGCTGGCTGAGTGGAAACTCTACAACTAGAAGGAAAGAAAAGCACACTGAGAGCCAGAGGAGCTGCGGAGGTGAAGTGCAGAGGTACGGAGGTCCGCGCACGCGGAAAGGGGCTGACAACTGAGGACGCGGCTCTCTTTTTGAATCGGGAGGGAGTCACAAGCTCCCAACTGCTCTGAACTCCGGTCCGGGAAGTCTCTTGGGACCCAGGACTCATACGGGGAGAATCTGGACTGTTTGGAAGCAGGCAGAACTCGGAACTTGAGGGTGGCTTTCCCTCAGAGGTGCTTGCAGCAATTAAATTACCGGGACACGAGAAGCGCGGACCCTTAGGGCAGGGCCGAGGATCCACCATAGCTGCTTGCTCCCCCCTGCTGATTCCCTGAGACCCCGCCCCACCCAGGCTGCGGCAGAGGCTTTTGCATATGAATGCCCCGGCCCTTTGCAACCTGAAAATAACCTAACAAATTGCAGCTGGGCCACAGACCCAGAACTTCCAAGAGAAGGCCCAAGGCCCCACAGCAGCTTGCATTGCTTCACAGCTGGGCCTCATCAGGGCACCTCCAAACTCCAAAAAAGGAAGAGGAATCTGCAGTTCTCTTCGTAGCTTCTGCCGGGTAACCTCAGGAAGAGACTAAATTAGCACCTCCTTAGATCCAAGAGCCAGTGTACCCAGTTGTCAGAGGGTGACCATCCGGATTACAACTCCTCAGATCCATAAGGGACACACTCAGGGGGCAGACTCAGTGAGCACCAAAGCCCCACTGAAGCAAGTCTTGCCCTAGAAGGGTGTCTTCAGCACAGAAGTTCTCCCACAGTAGACACAGCTGATTCTCACTGCCAGTTGGCCTAGAGGTCAATTCCTCCCAGTGATCCTACAACAATCAAGGCATAACTACAACAAGACTGTGCACAAAGCCCACAAGGGGGTGCACCAAGAGTGTCCACCTCAGGTGACTGGGGAGGCTGAGCCACTGGGCCCTATAGGACACCTAGCACACAAAACCACTCTACCAACACAGAAGCATAAAAAATGCGGAGACAAAGAAACAGGTCACAAATGACAGAAATGGAGGAAAGCAAACGACTGGATATAGAGTTCAAAACCACGTTTATAAGGTTTTTCAAGAATTTTATGGAAACCGCCAATAAATTTAGTGAGACCCTGGAGGATATGAAAAAAGACCAACTAGAAATTAAGCATACACTGACTGAAATAAAGAATAATATACAGAGATCCAACAGCAGACAAGAGGATCCCAAGAATCAAGTCAAAGATTTGAAATACAAAGAAAAAAAAAATACCCAACCGAAAAAGAAAAAAGATTCCAAAAATATGAAGATAGTGTAAGGAGCCTCTGGGACAACTTCAAGCGTACCAACATCAGAATTATAGGGGTGCCAGAAGAAGAAAGAGGGCAAGATATTGAAAACCTATTTGAAGAAATAATGACAGAAAACTTCCCCTACCTGGTGAAAGAAATAGACTTACAAGTCCAGGAAGCGCAGAGAACCCCAAACAAAAGGAATCCAAAGAGGACCACACCAAGACACATCATAATTAAAATGCCAAGAGCAAAAGACAAAGAGAGAATCTTAAAAGCAGCAAGAGAAAGACAGTCAGTTACCTACAAAGGAGTACCCATACGACTGTCAGCTGATTTCTGTCAACAGAATCCATGCAGGCCAGAAGAGAGTGGCAAGAAATATTCAAAGTGATGAATAGCAAGAACCTACAACCAAGATTACTTTATCCAGCAAAGCTATCATTCAGAATAGAAGGTCAGATAAAGAGCTTCACGGATAAGAAAAAGCTAAAGGAGTTCATCACCACCAAACCAGGATTATATGAAATGCTGAAAGGTATCCTTTAAGAAGAGGAAGAAGAAAAAGGAACTCTTACCATTTGCCACAGCATGCATGGAACTGGAGATAAATACTACATGATCTCACTCATTTGTGGAATATAATGAACAACATAAACTGATAAACAAGGACTGATCCAGAGACGGAGAGGCATTGATTGGACTGTCAGGCCTTGGAGGGAAAGTAGGGGAGGGTGGGGGTAAGGGGGAAAGATCAACCAAAGGACTTATATGCAAACATATAGGCCTAACCAATGGACACGGACAACGGGGGGGGGGGGGGTAAGGGCACGAGCGGGGGTGGGGTGGGGTAACGTGGGGATAAGGACACATATGTAATATCTTAATCAATAAAAAATAAAAAAATTAAAAAAAGACATTTGCCCTGGCTGGTGTGTTCACTGGTTAGAGCACTGGACCAAACACCAGAGTGTCACGGGGTCAATTTCAGGTCAAGAACACCTGTCTGAGTTGCAGGTTCAATCCCTGGCCCTAGGTTGGGTGCATGCCGGAGGCAATCTATCAATATGTCTCTCTCACATCGATTTCTCTCTCTCTCCTTCCCTCCTTCCTTTCCATTCTCTCTAAAAATCAATGGAAAGCCCTGACCGGGTTGGCTTAGTGGACAGAGCATCGGCCTGCGGACTGAAGGGTCCCGGGTTTGATTCCAGTCAAGGGCATGTACCTTGGTTGCAGGCACAACCTCGGTAGGGAGTGTGCAGGAGGCAGCTGATCGATGTATCTCTCTCATCGATGTTTCTAACTCTCTATCCCTATCCCTTCCCTCTCTGTAAAAAATGAATAAAATATGTATTTTTAAAAAATAAAAATCAATGGAAAAAATATCCTCAGCTGAGGATTAACACCAATAAATAAATAAATAAATAAATAAATAAATAAATAAATAAACACATTTAATGGCAGTCCATTATAACCATTTCCTTATCATTGAACATCAATATACTGTAACTTTAATTATAAATAACACTATAATTAGAAAAAAATCTTTATCTCTGTTTTTCTCTTTCTATTTATTTATTTATTTTTTAATACTTTTATTTTTTTTAAAATATAT